TTTGGCTGGACGCTCAGGGACTTGGAAAGAACATGATTGGAAAATTAGTGACAAGAAGGTATGGGGTAGAGGTATGTGGATAGATCTCTCTGAATGTGCCAAAGAAAGTGAAGATATTTGTGTCCCATGTGAATGCTCACCAAAGGGTGACCTCAGCAGAGGAGGATTTTAACAATCAAGTGGATAGGATGAAGTGTTCTATGGATACCAGTCAGCCTCTTTTCCCAGCCACTCCTGTCATTGCCCAGTGGGCTCATGAATGAAGTGGCCATGGTGGCAGGGATGGAGGTTATGCATGGGCTCGGCAACATGGACTTCCACTGACCAAGGCCGACTTGGCTACAGCCACTGCAGAGTGCCCAGTCTGCCAACAGCAAAGACCAGCACTGAGTCCCTGATATGGCACCATTCCTCAGGGTGATCAGCCAGCAACCTGGTGGCAGGTTGCTTACATTGGACTGCTTCCATCATGGAAGGGCAGCATTTTGTTCTTATTGGGATAGACACTTACTCTGGATACAGATTTGTCTTCCCTGCACACAACGCTTCTTCAAAAACTACCATCTGTGGACTTACAGAATGCCTTATCCACCATCATTGTATCCCACACAGCATTGCCTCAGATCAAGGGACTCACTTCACAGCAAATGAAGTGAGACAATGGGCCAATGCTCATGGAATTCACTGGTCTTACCATGTTCCCCATTATCTTGAAGCAGCTGGCTTGATAGAATGATGGAATGGCCTTCTAAAGAAACAATTACTGTGCCAGCTAGGTGGCAATACCTTGCAGGGTTGGGGCAATGTTCTCCAGGAGGCTGTATATGCTTTAAAACAGCATCCAATATATTGTGTTGTTTCTCCCATGGCCAGGATTCATGGGTGCACGAATCATGGGGTGGAAATGGGAGTGGCAGCACTCGGTATTACCCCTAGTGGCTGACTCTCAGAATTTTTGCTTCCTGTCCCCAGGACCCTATATTCTGTGGGTCTAGAGGTCTTAGTTCCAAAAGGAGGAATGCTCTTAGCAGGAGACACAACACTGATTCCATTGAACTGGAAGTTAGGAATGCCGCTCAACCACTTTGGGCTTCTCATGCTCTGGATCATACCATATTGGCTGGTGTGATCAATCCTGATTACCAAGGGAAAATCTGGAGGTAAAGAAGAGTATGCCTGGAATACAGGAGATCCCTTAAGACGTCTCTTAGTACTACCATACCCTGTGATTAAAGTCAATGGAAAACTACAGCAACCCAATTCTGACATGACTACTAATGGCCTAGACCCTTCAGGAATGAAGGTTTTGATCTCCCCACCAGGCAAAGAACCATGACCATCTGAAGGTCCTGCTGAGGACAAAGGGAATATGGAATGGGTGGTGGAAGAAGGTAGATCTAAATACCAGTTATGACCAACTAACCAGTTGCAGAAATGAAGGCTGTAATTGTTTTTAGTATTGCTTCCTTGTTTTGTTATACATGTATGAGTTCGTGTTAGGTGCAAGTATGATTTTATAATTGTCTTTATTTAGAGATTATGTATGGTTTAAGGAGATGTGTACAGGTGCCAAGTTGACAAGGGGTGGACTGTGATGATTAAGGTTATGTCTTACCTTGGCTAGGCCATGATTCTCAGTGGTTTGGCAGTTATTATGTAATCATCCTTCATTTTGTGATCTGATGTGAGCAGTCAATCAGTTGAAAGGGGAGTTTCCTTGGGGGTGTGGCCTGCATCCAATATATATAGATGTTCTGGCAAAGTTCACCCTCTCTGGATCTTGCATCCAACTTGTCATCTTCTGACCTCTGGTTCTTGGGATATGAGCCAGCATCCTGCTGTCTGACCTGCGATTTTGGGTTCGTTAGTCCCTGCAACCACATGAGTCAGGAGAAGCCTCCAGCCTGCCTGACGTCTGACCCATGGATTTGGGACCTGCCAGCCTCCACAACTGCATGAGCCATTTCCTTGAAATCTCTCTCTCTCTCTGTCTATATGCTTCACTGGTCTTGCTCCTTTAGAGAACCCAGCCTGAGACATAGGTAATCAATGTTACCTCTCCCAGTTTCAATATTTTTCACAGAGGTGGCTTCCTATCCTCCCAAATTGATTCTCAAAAGTGAAAATACTGAGCAACTGCTATGTGCCTGGTGTTTTAAACATTTATCTGATTTAATCCTCTCCACAATTTTGTAAACTGGGAGTTACTCTTACAGATCAAGTCAGAGAAAGCTCAAAGAAGTTTTTATAAAAACGTTTTATTATGAAAAATTTTAAACATATGAAAAAAGTAGTCAGAAGAGTATAATGAACACGCATGTACCATCAGCTGACTTCAATAGTTATCAACACATGGTCAATGTTGTTTCCTACTCACCTACCATATTACTTTTTCTCCATATTTGAAGCAAATTCCAGATATAATATAATTTCATCTTTAATATTCAGTATGTGTTTCTAAAAGGATTCTTAAAAAATAACATAACTATAGTAACATCATCACACCTAAAAATTACTAATTCTTTAACATCATCAGACATTCAGTCAGTGATCAAATTTCCGATTGTCTCATAAATATCATTTATTTTATAGTTTGTATGAATCAGGATCCAAATTAAATTCACACACTGCTATTGGTATGTCTCAGACATTTTAAGAAACTGCCTCTTATCATCTAGATCACAGCTGAGACGGTAGCTTCTTAGAGAACCTTTTCTTTTTTTAACTTTTCCTTTTTTTAATTTGTATTTACATTTAAAAAATTGAAATATTTTGTATCAAGCCATGTCATGTAAATTTATTTATAATTTTCCACATAATCAAATGTTCTTGCTTGTATACTTTTTAATGGCTGCATAATATTTCATCAAATGGAAGATAGTAGAATTATTTTAACTATACATATATTTTTGTCATTTAATTTGTCTCAATTTTTTATAATTATAGTGTGCTGCAGTCAACAACTTCATGTATCTCTGTGTCATTTATAGCAGTTCTAATAAATTTGTAGAAGTGGAAGTAGTGGGTTGAAAGATAAAGTTGTTTTAGACTTTGTACAACTGGTTGAACACTTGCATTAGAAACATTGTCTATGTTCTTACTATCAGCAGGCATTATTATCTTTGCATTTTGAAGCAACATGCAAAATGTAATAATTATTCAAATATAATCTGAGAACCTTTCTTGACCATCCTTTTTATTATAGCACTCCCCATCATATTGTCCTGTTTTCTTCTTCTAGACACTTTTTATCTGAAACGGTCATATTATTTTTCAGCTCTCTCTCCCACTGGAATGCAAGATAGCACTACCTTTTATGTTTTGTTTACTGCTGTCTAGAAAGGTACATGGTACATTGTGAGATCTCAGATAACAGAAATTCTCTTGTTAAGATAATTGGTGACCTTTACATTGCAAAATCCAAGGGTCAGTTTTTGATTTGTCCTCTCATCAACAATGGACACTGTTCACCATTCCCTCTTTCTCTTAACTGCCATATCACTACTCTCCTTGTTTTCCCTGTATGTCACCAGAGGTTATTTTTTTGGACTCTTTCTAGGATCTTCTTCTGCTCAACCTTCAAATGGTAGTGTTCCCATAGTTGGGTATAGGGCCCTCTTCTCTGTCATATCTAAATTCTCTTCCTATGTTATTGTATCTATTCCCATGGCATTAAATACCATCTACATGTTGATAACATAACCCCCAAATTTACTTTAGCTTTGGATTTCAGACTTGTATATTCAAATGTCTGTTTGACATGCCTACCCGGATTCCTAACAGGCATCTCAAATTTAACATGCTGAGAAGAGAATTGTCTATTATCTTTATCTCAGTCTTGCTCTGTCCCACTCCAAGTCCCCACTATTGTGCCTCTTCTTGTTCCACTCTTCCCATAACTTACTTTGCTTCGGTTACACTGGTCTTCTTTCTGCCTTTCCCACCCCTGAATTTTGTTTTATTCACTGCTGTATCTCCAGTGCCTGTAAGAGTACCTGGCACAGAGTAGGTGCTCAATATGCAAAAGCTAGGGCTTTTGCATGCACCATTTCCTAAGCAGTGCTTTCTCATCACTCAGGTCTCAAGCTTCAGAATCATCTCCTCAGCAAGGTCCTCTCTGAAGTTGCCTCTTAGCTTCTCCTGTATCACTCTGTTTTATTTTCATCAAGGCACTTATCACTACCTGTTTTTTGTTTGTTGTCTTATCCAACTTTAACGTAAGTTCCTTGAGTACCGGGACGTTGTTTGTATCGTCCATGCCTAGAACAATGCCTGACACGTATTAGGCATTCAACATATACTTGCTGAATGAATGAATGAAACTCGGGCCTGACAGACTGTGAACTCTTCAGAGCTGTTTTCTCTGGCTGGTTCTTAATCTACGCATTATTTTCTCCTCCTGATATACTGTAAATTCGGATGGGCTTCACATTCAAGGAACTATCTAAAGGTTCTAAGCTCCTCAAACTAGACAATATATTTCCATGTTAACTTTCCCCTGAATCTTCTTTGTATTTAGCAAATAGAAACAGAACACTCATTATAAGTCAGGCGCTACGCTAGGCGCTGGAGACATAAAGTTCAACGAAGCACAGGTTGAATAACGTCGGTAAGGTTATCGGGGTTTTGGAAATACACAACTTGACTACACTTAGACTTCGCCTTGCGATTATTCTCACACCGCAGCACGCTCGCGCGCAAGCTTCCGGAGTCTGAGGTCAGCGACGACAAGCAACAGGGCTGCGCTCCGCCCTCGGCCCCACCCACAACAATTGCACCAGCCCCCTGACCCCGCCCACACCCGCGACGCCCCGCCCACAACCATGACGTCCGCCCTTGGTTCCGCCCATATCCGCGGGGCCCTCGTCCCCAGCCCAGTCCAGAGCCGCGGAGCACAGCCCGCGCGCGGGCACGCTGAGCCCCAGGGGCGGGGCCGGCGGCGGCGGCCGCTCACGGCTTTCTACGTGTCGCAGCGGCAGTGACGGTAACTGGCGCGCAGACATTCGCTGAGGCGGCCGCTCTCTAGACAAGAGTTTCCCTTCATCGCTGCCCGAGATCTTCAGCAGCTCGGGTCAGGCTTGCGAGCGTCAGGCAGCCGCGCGCCATTTCCACCAAGCGCCATGGCAGCGGCCGGAGGGCCGGTAGTGGCCGAACGCTGCCCTCTCCTCGGCCTCTTTTCCCTTCTGTTGATCTCGGGTTCTGCCCTGGGCTGGAACGACGCTGGTGAGTGCCGTTGGTGTGCGCAGGCACCTCCCTCGCCCTTTCTCGCCGCCGTCACCCGGCGCGGAGAGGCCCCCATGGGCGCCCATTTCCGTTCGTCGCCCTGAGCCTGACCACATTCTTCACTTCTTTTTCGCTATTTATCTGTGCCCTACCCGGCTCCTTACGCTTCCCTGACGCCCTCCGGGACGAGCGGGGACAGTTGGAGAGTGGGCGGGGCGGGACGACTTTGAATTCTTAATGTCCCCTTCCTCTCTTCCCTGGCCTCGCAGAATTTGTCCACCTTCTCCTTTTCCTGGCTCCAGCCCTCATCCCGGGGTCGGGCTGGAAAACTCGACGTTCACCTGCGCACCTTGCATTGTTGTGACTGTCTGATGTCATCATCGCTGCCTGTGGCTGTCTGTTGCTATGGCTTGGCAGTTCCCATGCCACTGGCAGTCTCTGGCACTTTCTGAATCAAATTTAGTGGACAGGGCTGCAGTTCTTGTAGATAGGTTTGCAGAATCATAGATTCTGCTTATTTTCGTGAGCGGAGCTCATGGATCTCATCTTGGCGTTTACGGTGAAGTATCGGTGTACATTTCCTTACACCAGGGTTTCCCATTGTTGTTCACCCTACCCAGGAATTAAATTTTTTTTTCATCTTATTTATTTTGGTGATGGTATATAAATGATTTCTGGGGAAAGAGTTCTTTTATATCAATGTTATTGAAATGTAATCTAACGAATTTTTATGGAGTCAATATCCTGTAACAAATATGTATGTATATATACACATGCACACAGATTTTGACTTTTTCGTTTAATAAAGGGTGCATGCTCTTAAATGAGAAATTATGTAAAAAAATGACTTGTCAACACTTAAAACGACATGTTTTGTTTGGGGAGTAAAAATGTTAGGGTATGGAAAGTATACCAGAATTGCATTTATGATCTGAACATTGGAAATGCCTACATTTTTAAACTTAAGCGACAGGTTTATTGCTATAGTTTCCTATTTTATTCCCAAAGCTGAAGTGAGAGGCAAGATGCTGCTTGCAAACACTTGACTTTGAATAACCCATTTGGTGTAGATGTTTTATTACCAGTAAGTGAAAAGCCGAGTTAAATTTAAATGCCCATACACAGTCCTTCCTTTCTTCCTCCCTCCCTCCCTCCCTCCCTCCCTCCCTCCCTCCCTTTGCTTCCTTCCTTCCTCCCGCCCTTCTCTCTCTCTCACTTTCTCACTTTACTTACGGAGATCTTGATCAGGTGAATGCAGCCTATGGGTCTGGTGAAGGATTTCTTGAAGAAAATTGCAGACTTATTTTCTGCTTCTCCATAACTTGGTATATTTTAAAATAATGAATCCTATGCTTCCTTTTATGTATATGCTTTGTTAATGTATATAAATTAAGCAATGTAAGTTCAGGAATCAGCGGTTTAAAACTGTATGACTGTCCAAACCACCACTCTGAATAGTGTGATCATCAAAGGAATAAATTTTTTACTGACCATCAGGCTACTCTCTTGATAATACACTAGTGGCGCTAAAGCTGTTCCTGTTTTAAAGTACAAAAGTTTAACTTATTTTCTCATTAAAAAAACATTCTGCTGAAGCGGACTTATTTCTCCTCTTAAAGAAGCACACCTAGTGAGGGAGGGAAGGTTGTTTCTTGAACCCAGTAGGAAAGACTGCTTTATGTATGCTCTGTGTATTCCTAGATATTTTATGTAAATGGAAGACTTTGATCAGAATTATAATTTAAAAGCTGGAATGAAACATTAATTGGTTGAACCCTCAGTCAATTCTTTAAAAAAATAAAAGGAAGTTTACAGATGAGGAATCAGGAGAACTATATAAATAGAAAGAAGCTGCCTTCTGGTGTTACTTGCCCACCTGCTATGACACCATTCTTCCGGAACAAAAATGAGGCATCAAAATATTTCGCAGAGTAAACTCAATCAATTTCTATAAATTTGACTTCACTTTAAATTCTCTTCGAGGAACTGTTTTATTGGAATGCCTTGTATCAAGTCCTTTAGTAAAGCAGTAGTCAATACCTAATATTTCTTCAGTTTGACTTTGGATCCAGTTGTTTTGAATTTAGCTGACGTGGAGCAGTAATTCGGAAAAAAAAAAAAAAAAAAAAAAACACCAGTTCTAAAGGCCTTAATTAAAAATTTTCAAAATTCTTTATTGAATATAGTCTTATATTTAAGTCATTCTTCTAAGTGTTGGGAATATAGCAGTGAGCAAAACAGTGTCTTGCCTCCAAAGAGTTTATATGTATCAAAGAGAAACATAGTAACAAACAGGTAAATAATGTGTCATGGTGACAGATAATACAGACAATGATAAAGCAAGGTAAGGAGGACAGAGTGTGCAGGCAGAAGTGGGGACTTTTAAAAATACACATTGGTTAGAGAAGAAGTCACTGTTAAGGTGACATTTGATCAGAAACGTGAAGGAAGAGGAGTAAATGACCTGATATGACTTATATTTTCAAGGCTTATTCTGACCGCTGTGTGGAAGACAGACTGTAGGGGGTAAAGGGGAAGGGAGGTCAGTGAGAGGTTGGACAGTACGTTCAGTGAATGGTGATGGCTTGGACCAGTGGAGGAGCAGTGGAGTTGGTGAGAGTGGTTGGATTCTCTTCTCACCTGCTTTGAAGGTGGAGCTGACATGGTACTCTGATGGATTAGACGTAGGGGTGAGAGTAAGAGAGAAGACAAAGATGACTCCAAGGTTTTTAACCTGAGCAACTAGAAGGATGGAATTATCATTTCATGAGATGTGAAAGATTGTGAGAGAATCAGGTTTACGGGATTTTGGCTTTGTTCATCTTACGTTTGAGACCTGTAAGTAGATTTTGATTTGTAGGTCTGGAATTCAGGGGACTCCGTGTCTGTTGACTGATGAAACTAGTGGAGTACGGGTGTGAACACTTTGTTGTTGATCTTTAGGACCTCTAGGGAGGAAAGATGATGTAAGGCTATGATAATGATTCCTCAAGTGTATATAGCTCTTATAACATTCTCAGTAATATTTATTATACTTTAAATTCACCTGTTATTTGTCAAGTAAAGGTTGGTGGTTTGAACCCACCCAGTGGTGCCATGGAAGAAAGGCCTGGCGACCTGCTTCCATAAAGATTACAACCAAGACAATCTTATGGAGTAGTTCTCCTCTGTAACACGTGAGGTTGACATGAGTCGTAATCAACTTGGTGGCAATGCATTTGGTTTTTGGTTTTTGACTCTGCTAGGTAATTTTAGTAATTATATCTCATATAATTTACAACAAATCTTAAGGTTGATGTCATCATCGTCATTTTACAGGTGAGGAAACTTGTACACAGATAAATTAAGTGGCTTGGCCAAAGTCGTATAGCAAGTTGGTGATGGGAATTGGTCCAGCGTTCTTTGCATTATCTCAACCCTCTTAAAATAAATTGAAGTTGTTATTATTTATGTTATTTAGTTTAATAATACATTCTGCCTTTTTTTGGACTATGACTAACCTCATATGCAGCCGTCACCCGTCTGTCATTGGCGGCTTGTGTGTTGCTATGGTGCTGAACAGGTTTCAACGCAGCTTCCAGACTAAGATGGACTAGGAAGAAAGCCTGGTGATCTACTTCTAAAAATCAGCCAATGGAAACCCTGTGGATCACAACTGTCCGACTTGCAGATGGATCATGGGGATGACGCAGGACCGGGCAGTGTTTTGATCTGTTGTGCGTAGGGTTGCCATGAGTTGGGGAGCCAGCTCCACGACAGCTAACAACAACAACAATTCATCAAATGTTTTCATTGTTTTAGTTTTTTATGTATAAAGAGGCAGTTTGAGTTTAATCTAGCGTATTTTATTTTAATATGGTTTTAGGTGGATTTTCTGCTAGCTGCATGGACGATAATGCCAGTACCATTTGTTAAAGAAGGCATACATTTTCTACTGAGTTAAAAGGCCCACTTTATCTTGTATTGAATTCCTACCTGGATCTGGATTTATTTCTGGACTTGTGTCTCACAGTTCTTACCTATTTCTGTTCCAGTTTCTTGCTGTTTTGATTATAGTAATTTTATGGAAAGCTTTACTATCTGGTAAAGCAATGTATTCTTTTTTCTTAAATTGGCTATTTATGGACATTTTTCTGTAAGGCCTTTCAAATAATTTCTTTCCTGTTCCTAAAAAAATCCAACTGGCTTCTAAGTTGGAAGTGTATTATATTTATTTAGGTCTTGTTATATACATTTTTTCTTCTTTAGGTCCTGTGTTGGCCTTGTTAAGTTTATTTCTAGGTAGTTTATGTGTGTACACATGTATATATGTATATATTTTATCACTAGTTTGATTGATAGGTTTTCCATTTTCATTTCTAACTGGATATTTCAAACCTAAACCCATTGCCGTCAAGTCGATTCCAGCTCATAGCAACCCTATAGGACAGAGTAGAATGGCCCCATAGGATTTCCAGGGAGTGGCTGGTGGATTTGAACTACTGACCTTTTGGTTAGCAGCCGAGCTATAAACTGCTGCGCCACTGGGGCTCCCTCGATATTAAAAAGCCACTGAGGAAATGTTATCTCTTCCACTGTTGTTACTATTAGCTGACTACTTGAAAGCCATTCCCTTGTCCCCTCCATGTAAATGCTAGAAAAGCCAAATACTCCTTTTAGTTGAATCACTTGCTGTTATCATTATCATGTGACCTGGTTCTAGTCAGTCTCCTGGAGGGCTCTCAGAAGTTATTTTAAGTTTTGATGGAAGGTTATCAGTCTTTTTTTCTTGCTTTATTTTCTTTTCACTCTCTCTTTTTTAAAATGTTGAAATATTTTAAAGTAAATTACAGATATCATGACAGGCTAGCACTGAATTCTTCAGTATTCACCTCTTTAAAGAAATGAACTTTTCCTCACATGGTAGAATGACATTACACCTAACAAAATTGATACTAATTTTTTAATAATATCTAATTTTGCGTTCCCGTATTCAGATATCCGGTTGTCCCTAAGATGTC